GGAAGCAATTCTGACCTCCTTTATTACCTTTGGGTAGCACTGTATATGAGTAAGACTTCCTTTTCCTGACACAGGCCCTAAACTGGCAACAATAGCTGCCCCATATTTTTTAATTTCTACAAGTAAAATTTTGGGCCTCCGCTTTTTACCAGGAATAGATGGTATACCAGTTGACGTATTTAAGCTAACAGATGCTGCCATGGATGTGCTCACCAAGTTGTGTAAAGAAATCTGGAGAACAACCACTGGCCAACTGACTGGAAGAGATCTATATTTGTTCCCATTCCAAAGAAAGGTGACCCAACAGAGTGTGGAAACTATAGAACAATATCGTTGATTTCACATACAAGCAAGATTCTGCTGAAGATTATCCAAAAACGACTGGAACATCAGCAGAGAACTGCCAGAAGTCCAGGTTAGATTTAGAAGGGGTTGTGGTACTAGTGATATTGTAGCTAATGTTAGATGGATCTTGGCTGAAAGTAGGGAGTACCAGAGGAATGTCTATCTGTGTTTCATTGATTATGCAAAGGTGTTTGACTGTGTGGGCCATAACAAACTGTGGCTGGCTGAGAAGAATGGGAATCCCAGAACACTTGACACTTGAACCAAGAGACAGTCATCAGAACAGAGCAAGGAAACAAACACTGCATGGTTCAGAATTGGGAAGGGCATATGCCAGGGATGTGTCCTGTCTCCATACCTTTTCAGCCTGTATGCAGAACAGATTATCCGGGAGGCTGGGCTATATGAGGAGAAATGCAGCACCAGGATTGGTGGAAGATCTATCAACAATCTGCATTATGCAGATGACACAACCCTGCTTGCGGAATCTAAGGAGGACCTGAAGCGCTTGCTGCTGATGGTCAGGAACTGCAGCCTTCAATATGGATTGAGGCTCAATGTCAAGAAGAGAAAGATTCTCACCACTGGACCATTTGGCAGCATTAGGATGGATGGTGAAGAGATTGAGATTGTTCACAGCTTTAGTCTGCTTGGCTCCACAATTAATACTCTTGGCTCCAGAAGCCAGGAAATTAAAAAACGTATTGCGATGGGAAAGTCTGCTATTAGGGATCTCTCTAAAGTACTGAAGAGCAATGGTGTGTCTCTGGAGACTAAGGTGCGTCTGGTACAGGCCATGATCTTTGCAATCACTTGTTATGCATCAGAGAGCTAGACAATGACCAGGGAGGATAGAAGGAGAATTGATGCTTTTGAGCTTTGGTGCTGGAGAAGAGTGTTCAGGGTACCATGGCCTGCTAAGAAAAGAAACAGATTCAACCCGGAGAGGGTTAAACCGGGCTGCTCCTTGGAGGCAAGGATTCTGAGACTTCATTTGACATACTTTGGTCATGTTTTAAGGAGGGACTGGTCCTTGGAGAGGGACATCATGCTTTGGAGGGTGGAGGGACAGCGAAGGAGGGGAAGGCCCTCTGAGAGGTGGATTGATTTGGTGACTAGGACAATTGGGATGAGTGTGTAGGAGACAATGAGTTTGGCATTGGACAGATTAGAGTTTAGAGCTGTTGTACGTTGGGTCGCTATGAGTTGCAAGTGACTTGACGGCACATAACAACAACAACAAGTAAAATTTTGTTGTCTGCA